GACGATAACTTATTCATGTAGCTTTCCATAAATACGAGCCCCACGGAAACAGGTTCCACGCATTTAGGTCTTCTACCAATTTGATTAGATCATTTGGAATAGGTTGTTTGGCTCTCTGCCTAAAAAGCCGGCACGCAAAGATTAGAAGGCATACTCGGACAACGTCGACGTCATCCATCCGAGTAAAACCATCTTTATTATTCAAAAATCTTGTCAGGTCTTCTACGTGTAGACTCGGCCTCTCCAGCTCAGGAAAAACCCGGGATAGCCATGATGGCGGGTAATGTGTCTAGTGTACCGACCTACATCATCGTGTCCGAAGCGTAGACCGGTGATTAAGCAAAACTCCTCCCGCCCATAACACGTATACGCCGGTGGAAAATCAAACCATATCTCTTCATCACGACGTTGTATAGTCTCTGGTAGATCGCTAGTCATGGTTTGAAGAAACAGGTGTGTCAACATCGCATCTCCACCGGGTGTTGTACTTTCAGCCATGGCCCGAAGCATGTATCCTCAAACATTTTTCTTTGTGCAGGTGAAAGCTTCGACGCAATTGTTTTGGCCAGGCTGACTTTATTTCTCAAGGTCAATTGAGCCGAATAAAAGTTCTACAAAAACAATAAACATACTAATTAGATATACCAAAAACTACACTGTGAAGATATACCAAAAACAATAATAAACATAAATAGTAGTAGTTTATTCTTCAAACTTAAATATGCAACACTGTGAATTTCGTATTTGTCTTTGTTTTTTTTGAAGTAATGCAATTCATTCAAGTTTCAATTTGCAGAAGAAGAATAGTTTCTGAAAATGAAATCGCAACACGAAAATGACTATCGCAACGAGAGAATCGCAACGCGAAACTAAAATCGCGTTGCGATTTGCATTTCGCGTTGCGATTCTTGGTTGATTTAATAAGCAATCTAAGTGAAATGGTTAATCTATTATTGAAATTACCAGTAAACTTATCATCAATTTCATATGAAAAACCTAATAATAATGCAAAAAATTCAAAAAGAAAATAATTAAAAAAAACTAACCCTCGTTGGTTGATTTGGTTGATTTTCCATTTCTGATGTGAGGGTGGCTCTGAGAGATTTAGATAGACGGATTTCGTCGGAGATGGGGACGGATTTCGTCGGAGATGGGTGAGAGAGTGAGAGATGGAGATGGGACTGAGTTTTTATTTTAGGTTTTAGGTTATGAGTTGCGATTACGGGATATATTGTGGACAGTTCAGTGTTCCAATATATTAATATTCATGTTTGGAATTTAAAAATAAAATACTTGGCCAGGATACTAATGGCGCTTTGAAAATCGCATTGCGATTATGTATTATCGCGTTGCGAAAGTCAGTATCGCGTTGCGAAAGTCAGTATCGCGTTGCGAAGTAAGTATCCGTTGCGATTTTTTTATCGCATTGCGATAGTCAGTATCGCATTGCGATTTTCCCAATTCGCGTTGCGATTTACTTATTCGCATTGCGATTTTCCCAATTAGCGTTGCGATTTACTTATTCGCATTGCGAATTGGGAAAATCGCAACGATACTGTAGACCATCGCAACGCGATTTTCAACTATCGCATTGCGAAAATGCAACGCGAATTTGCGATAATGGAGATTGCGTTGCGAATTAGCGATCGCATTGCGATTTTGTTGGTCATTTTGGCAAATCCAGAAAAAGTTGGTTAAAATCGTATATTATATGAGATTTTTGGTCACTGAGGTTATTTTCTCTTGCGAATTTGACTATCGCGTTGCGAATTTGAAATTCAGTGTTGCGAATTTGACTATCGCGTTGCGAATTTGACTTATGTGTTGCGAATTTGACTTCTGTATTGCGATTTACAAATTCGCGTTGCGATTTACAGATTCGCGTTGTGAATTTGGCTTTTGCTTTGCGAATTTGACTTCAGTATTGCGAATTTGACTATCGCGTTGCGAATTTGACTTCTTTGTTGCGAATTTAACTTATGTGTTGCGATTTACAAATTCTCGTTGCGAATTTCGAAACTGGGTTGCGAAATTGGAGTTCGCGTTGCGAATTTGTTGGTCATTTTCGCAAATCCAAAAAAAGTTGGTTAAAATCGTATATTATAAGACATTTTCGGTCACTGAGGTTATTTTCTCTAAATATAATCCTAAAATTGTTAGGAAAGAAAAAAACATATTTTCATTTATATTCGTTTACATTTATGTTCTTTTATGTTTTCGTTTGCGTTCACTCATCTGTGTTCGTTTACGTTCGTTTATGTTCGTTTACATCTGTTCGTTTATATTCGTTAATTGTTCGTTTATCATTTAAATGAACGAACATTACATTCCTTAGCGAACGAACACGAACAAGAATTTTTTTGTTTGTTAATTTGTTCGGTTAAAGTTAAACGAACGAACATGAACATACCCTCGTTCGTGCTTGTTCGTTTCATTTTCAGGCTTAAATACACTTCGGGACTTGGGACACATTTTGGGAAAGAAATATATTCCAAAGCTTTTTGTTCCCTTTTTTCTACATTCACATTTTTTAAAGAAGGCAATTTCTTCAAGGAAGAGGACTTTTACACATCTTGTCTACATTAGTATCAATGAAAATTAATTTAAGCAACGAATTATCAATAAGAGAAGATAAAAGAAAACCCATACATAACTTAAGTGAAATATTAGTTTAGATGAACATAACACTTCTTATAAACACCCAAAGCACTGAAGTTTATGCAGTCAAACGATCAAGGCCCTCAGTTTTCTTAGAGTAAATTAAAGGCTTTAGAGGGATTATCATCAGAAGGATCGAACAACTTAGGCTCAAGCTTAGCCCTACAAACAGGACAAACCGGACGCTTGGAAAGCCAAGTATCAGCACATTGCAAATGGAAGCCATGACGACAACCGGGAACCATTCTAGCCGATTGATGAGGCTCGATCTCGTCGAGACAAACCGCGCACTCGGTTCCCAACACAAGGTCCTTCCCCGTAACCTGGGGCAGCTTCTCAAGCTCCGAAACGGATAATCCTTTCGCACCAAGCTTCTTAACCGATGACGACCCTGAATTATCAGCACGATAATTAGAGGCATACCACAGGAGACAGATATAAACAATGAAACCACACTCATGCCGGCGCACGGCAGAAAAAGGGCTAAGAAAACAGAAACCAACATTGGTTGCTGGTTGCTGGCGGCGGTGTTTAGGGCGGGTGGTGGAGAAGGAGAGAGTAGAGGCGGAAGGCTATATTGCGCGCCATAGCGCATAATAGTGAGTTGGTTTCTAGGGAAGTGTAATTGCTTAATGCTTTTTCGAAATATGTTATATGTAATTGCTTAATGGTTCGGGAAGGAATAGGGGGCTTTCAAGGGAGACATGAAAGATAACGGATATATTGTGAAGGCAAAATTATGGAATTATCGTTTTAGTTATAGAGAACAGAGCTGACGCGTATCGTGGCAGACAAGCAAAACGCCCCCCAAACGGCACTGGCAATTGGCCAACAATTTACATTTTGCTTTTTTTTTAAAAAAATTAATACATAAATTAATTTTTTAAGATTTGATTCTCCATAAATTATTTTTTAATAATTCTCTACCATTTAATATTGAATGTTTAAACCTCTAATATTTATGATATTCAAATTCAAATCCTCGAAAAAAATAAATTTTTTACCACTAAATTCACTTATTTCGTACCTGATTTAGTAAATTAGATTAGGGGAAATTGTACCATTTTATTTTTAAAATTTATTAAAGTATGTATGTAATGATAAATTATTATTACTGATTGTGGGAATTCATTCCACTTAAGAACTTCAATATTTAAGATAACTTCCATACTATTCATATTTAAGGTAAGAATTAACTGTATAATGTATCTCTAAATAATTACTCTATCTTTAATATTAACTTTTGAACATTCTAATTTTATCTTTATATTATTTATTTTAATTGATTTTAAAATTTTAACGTTTTAATTTTATCTCTAAACTATGATCTTTATTTTAAATTAATCTATAAATTTTTGAATGTTTCAATTTATCTCAAAATTATCAGTGTATGTTAATAATGTCTCCTATTAATAAAATTATTATAATATTAATTATCGTATAAACATTTTTGTATTTTATAGTAATATGACATGACATAAATAATAATTAACATTGAATTTAAACAAAATAATAATTTAACTTTAAATGTGGAAAGAATTATAAGCAAATTAAAAGAAAAAAAATAAAAAAATAAAGAACCTTTCAATTTTATTCTAAACAATAATTTCAGGGGACGTACTATAATATGTACTATAATATTAACTATCGTTTATGCTACATCGTATTATTATATGATATATCATCAAAATTTACATGGATAATAATATTTTTAATGATTTATTAATAAGAGATGTAATTAGCATATACTAATAGTTTGAGGATAAAATGAAAATATTCAGGAGTTTTGGGATTAATTTAAAATGAGAGTCGTAGTTTGTGGGTAAAATTAAAATGTTTAAAAAATTGAGGACTAATTTGAAATGAGAATCATAATTTAAGGATTTAATTGATATGTTTAAAGGTTTGTGGACTAATTTAAAATAAAAACTATAGTTTGAGAACATATGATATAATTAACTCTTGAGTTAGAAATGCATTTGAAAAGAGAGGGATTGGCGGTGGCGTATGAGCAGAGCGTGAGAGAATTGCACCTGAAAATTGGGTTCAGGAAAAATGATTGACAGTGAGATTTGGTTCGGTCCATTCAACTGAATTATTATTATTATTATTATTATTATTATTATTATTATTATTATTATTTTATTATAACAATAATAAAATTAAATATAATAGTGGGAGTGCGAAATGTATAATGTTACTTTTGATTTGTGGTGTGTGGGAGGGGACCATTGATATGTGGTGTGTGGAAAATTGGGTTTACGTTTGATCCTCGCTTATGCTGTTGACTATCGGTAAAGGAAGGCCACTCAAAATGAATAAATATTTCTGTTCGTTACATGAAAGATGAATATTAAGGCCATTTGAGAAAAGAAAAAATGAGGGCGGAAAAAAGAACGACTCTTTTAATATTATTCTGCTCCACCTTCTTAATTATTCTGGGTCATCGGATCGTAAAAGCTCAGACTTTGCCACCGGCGAAGTACGATGGGTTCTTGTACACCAACCACCCAGTTGACTCGGACACGATTCTGATCGAGGCTTTCTTCGACCCAGTCTGCCCCGACAGCAGAGACTCTTGGCCTCCTCTCAAGCAAGCTATTCATCACTATGGTTCTCGCGTTTCTCTCATAGTTCACCTCCTCCCCTTGCCGTTAGTCTCCTTTTCTTCTCTCTATTTTAATTGGTCGGAATTTAGTTTTGGTGTTTGAAAGTTTATTTATTTGTAAATATAAATTTACAAACTTGAATGATTGATTTTTGCTAAGTTCGTGGATATAAGTTGAACTATTATCATTACCAACTTGTGGGTGTTTTTCTTTTTAGCTTAAAATCATCATTTTCAGTTTAATCAATTTTTCCTGGGTTAGTTACTTTGGATGGTTTAATCTGTTTATACAGGATCAATATCTATGTTTTATTTTATTCTTTTACCTGGATTCGTTAAAAGGACAATCAGGACGAACGATTGTAGATTATGTCATAATATTTAAACTTGGAACATCCTTTTTTTCTGAGTTGTTTTATATATATGAAAACCTTGATCAGGTTAGATTATTTTCAATTTTGGTTCAGAAAGACTTGAGTTTTAAGAGGCTTGGTATTGTAAATTGCAGTTACCACGACTATGCGTTCGCTACTTCCCGGGCACTGCACATTGTAAACCTGCTCAATCCTTCTGCAACTTTCCGATTGTTGGGCGCTTTCTTTGAGCATCAGGTTCTGATGTTCCATTTTCCAGTCTTGCATTTTTCTTTTTCAGAGGCACTCTAATTATGAGAACATTAACTTGTTGGGTACTATTGTTATGTAACAGGAGAGGTTTTACAATGCCCAAACAAGCAACAAGTCCAAAGATGCAGTAGTGAATGAAATCTCAGAGTTTACAGCAGAAGCAGTCGGAAACTCCTATTATTCAGCAATTGTATCAGGCTTCAATGACAGGAAGACTGATCTTAAAACCAGAGTTTCTTTCAAGGTAAATCCTTTCCCCTCACCCCGCGCCACTTATTCCTTTCCCTTTCAAAGCAATCGAACGCTTCTTCAGAACCATTAAACGACCTCAGTGGTAAAAAGGAGTGTTTGTTCTTCCTAGAAGTGTCGGGTTTGAACAATTTTTGTCAGAAATTAAGAAAGATTTTTAGAAGATATTACCTTGTAAGCTTTGTTCACGTGATTTACACTGTAAGTGTTGTGACATGCAGTATAGTGCTTCAAGAAGGGCGTTTGGAACACCTTCTTTCTATATCAATGGATTTGCGTTGCCTGATCCGGGCTCCTCGATTGATTACAAGGGATGGAGAAGCTTCATTGATCCCTTGCTCGTCGGAAAGAGCAAAAACAGGGACGATTTGCCGCACTTTTCTTGACGAGGATCTACCTTTTCCGGACGTATTGTTCTACTGGTATTTGCTTGACGTGTGATAGTAAACCCTGTAAAAAATTAATGATAATGCACCGGTGGTGCTGGATGTTCTGTAATGACTGCCAAATGCTTGGCTAGTAAATTAAATAAGGACTCAAGTTAACGTAACTTGAATCTTTACCCTGTTTCTCAATTATCTGGTTGTTCTGTTTCTTTGTAAGAAGAATAATAAAGGCCTATATCGTTAAAATCGGACTGAATCAATTGATGAAATTAAAGAATGACTAATTCAACGATTGAATTATAATGGTTGAATTAAAAGTTTCACCGCTGGATAAAATTAGACTGAAAATCCTTCCCAAGAATATATTTGCGTTGAGACAATATCAATGCCTTCTCTGCACGCTTAACCTCAATTCCCAAGAAGTCAAGCTTCCTAATCCTTCAAAGAAAAAACATGACTCAAAGCATGAACACACATGAGCAACACTGTTAATACTAAGAGAAGAGTCACATGTATAATGCCATCCACATAACAAAATGTATATATGACAGCTTGCATCATTCTTAACAAATAAAGAAACATCAGCTCTGGATTCAATAAATCCCAATTGAATAAAACTTGCTTTTAGCTTGTCATGCTAGTTTCTTGGTGCTTGTCCAAGTGTTATTTTTCTGTAGAGCATTAAATTCTGCTTGAACAACTTCTTTCCACCTTGGTGATTTAAAAGCAACATACATATCAGGTGGCACTTCATCAACAAGCGAACTGACATACACCTTTGGTTTGAACACACCACATTTACTCCTAGTCATCATTGAGTGTGTATTCATCGATATACTAGAATTACCACCTGCACTTGGGACATAATCAGTAGCAGATTGTGGTATACTAGTTACTTCATGTGCAACATCATCATGTGTACCACTCGAAATATCAACTACATCTTCTTGTGCTTTAGTCTAACTATGTTTGCTGCTGCCAAATTATAACTGGAATCATCACCAGATACTATTGCGTGACTGTTGTTAGCCATTGAATTATGATCAGATTTCTCAGCAGTCACATGTTGAAATTTGTGGACATTTGCCACAATCTGTAAAGAGCTAGATGAACCAGAAGTATTAGATTCATTAGAAACCTTTTCATGCAACTTTGCAAAAGGAAAATGCAGTTCATCAAAAACCACATGTCTAGTGATATACACTCTACCAGTAGCATCAAGACATTGAAAACCTTTATGTTGTGGGTTGTACCCTAAAAAAGTTCAGGGTTTAGACTAAAATTCTAACTTGTGCTTTAGATAAGGTCTCAAATGAGGGAAACACAAACATCCAAACACCTTTAGCTGTCCATAGTCAGGTTTATTCTGAAATAACTTTTCAAAATGAGATATTCCTTCTGAAACCCTTGTAGGAAGCCTGTTGATTAAATGCACAATTGTAACAATAGCATAAGCCTAGAATTTGAATGGCAAGGAAGCTTGTGCAAGCAGTACAAGAGCAAATTCAATCACATGACAATGTTTGCGTTCAACTACTCCATTTTTGTTTTGATGTATGTGGACATGTTACACGGTGAGAAATGCCATAATTAAGTAAATATCTTGATAGAGTTCGATATTCTCCACCCCAGTCACTTTGGACTTCTTTTATAGGTAAGTCAAATTGAGTCTTGACCATTTGCTGAAACATTTTAAATGCAGCAATGGCTTGAGACTTATCATGAAATAGACCAAGAATGTCTTGTACATGCATCCAAAAATGTCACATAATACTTATAGCCATTTGAGACAACATGAGAGGGTCCCCACAAATCTGTAAAGATTAGCTGACATGGAGTGTCATACACAGAGGTAGAGTCAGGAAAAGGTAACTTATGACTTTTTCTTATATGGCATGCAACACAAGTTGAATTACTATTTCTTGAAGGAAGTTTTACATTCATCTCTTGACACACTTTAACTAGGATATCATGCGAGGGATGACCCAACCGCTGATGCCACAGGTCATACACATTTTTTGACAACTGTGTTGAATTGATTTCTACCCTAGCACTATTATCAACTGCAGAGTGCACATAAAAAACATATAAACCACCATCTTCTTGGCCTCGAAGTAAGATTGCCCCAGACTTCTCATCACGAACAAAGCATTCATGAGCATGAAACTCAAGAAAAACATTATTATCCCTAGCAAGCTTTGACACAGAGAGAAAATTCTTGGTTATTTGCGGTACATGCAATAAATCATTAGCAATAACAATCGAAATGATGAATGCAAAAATGCATAGCCAACATATTCAACTTCTAAAGCAACTCCATTACCAACAAGAAGTTTACCTGGATTATCAAGATCAACTGACTGACTGATGTTCATACCATTAGAGGTAACATGGTGTGTAGCACCTGAATCCACAACCCATTGTTCACGAGAAGAAGATGGTTTGGAATGAACTGGTGACTTGGATCCAGTCCTTTTAGCAAAGAAACATTCACATCCAGTACTCTTGGTGTCATTCACAGAATAATTGGCAGCACTGGAATCATCTTTTGAATATGAGTTGTTATTGGAAGTAACACAAGTAAAGTTTTCATCAAATCGATGCCAACATCGATCGACCAAATGCCTATTTTTTTCCACACAGTTGACACTGGAGCCTAGTTTGACCCCTTCCTCGACCAGAAAATCTGCCACGAGAGTATGACTGTAGAGAAGATGACCTCGAGTCAGACTGATCTTCAAATCCTCCTGATATTTTTCCTTGAGCCATATGAGCACTCATATGAAAAGGCTCAAATGACTCACCAAAACCTGCCAACTGCGTTTCAGCATCCATCAACATAGTGTATAAAGCATCAAGAGTCACTGATTCTCGTATAGTTGTTAAAGCAACCACAAACGACTAATAATCACAAGGTAAACCTTTAAGAATGCTAGCCACATGCACAACTTGAGAGACAACACTCTCATAAGAGGCCAACGCATCACAAACTTCTTTTACTTTTGTAAGGTAAGCTCGCATTGAATCATCACCTTTCTTGAGGGATTGTAATTTATAGTGAAAATTAATCACAGCAGTAGTAGATCTATTGGCAAAGAACTGCAACACCTTAGTCCACACAGCAAACGCTGTCTCAGCACCTACGAATTAAGGAAGAAGAGATGGACTAATCGTTGAAAGCAACCATGATACAAGAGTACTATCCTGAGCTACAAAGTCCTCGTGCAACTCATTCGGTACTGTTTCACCTGATTCAACAAGCAACGTCGCCGGCGACACATGCATGGATCCCAATAATAATCGCTCCAAACGGTGACTGCGAACCGTTAACAGTATTTGTTGTTTCCATAAAAGAAAGTTAGTTTCATCAAGAATAACACTAACCTTCTTGTTGGAGAAACCTTTAGAGCTTCTCGAAGGAACCTCCATTGGCAAGGAAAAACCGTCACCGTTGAACATAACTACTTCTTAGGCAGCGAAAGAACAAAAAAACCTCTCAAGACCAGTAGCGAAAGATACCATGTTGAGAAGATAGAATTCAATGAATAACATCTGATAAATTTCATTAAGCTCACTGTTAACTGCATTACAACCATCTTATATAGAAGCTGTGCCATGTATTCCATAATACATATTCTAATATAAACTATATATATGTAACCTATAGTTTATAAAGAATAATTTATATGTAATTTATATAAACTATGCATATAACCTATAGTCTATAAACAATAGTTGATATATAATATAAATTATATATGTATAAACACAGTTGATAATTGATATATAGTTTATTAAACAATAGTTTATATAAATTATATAAGTAACCTTAACATATAGTCTATAAACAATAGTTAATATATGTAACCTATAGTATATGTATATATGTAAACTATATATGTAACCTATAGTATATGTATTATGTATATATACAATCTATATATAGTTTAAATAAACTATATATGTAACATATAGTTTATAAACAATAGTTTATATTAGTGTACTATATAGTTTATAACCTATAGTATATAATTTATAAACTATAGTTTATATTAATGTATTATATACTTAATATTAATGTTAATTATTTTAACTATAATTTATATTAATATATTATATAGTTTATAAACTATAATTTGTATTAATGTAGTAGATAGTTTATAAACTATAGTTTACATTAATATTAACATATTAACTATAGTTTATATTAATATAGTATATAATATTAATATTAATATTAATTATAGTCTATAAATCATATACTATATTAATATTAATTATATTAACTATAGTTTATAAACTGTACTATATAATTTATAAAATATAGTTTATATTAATATTAATTTTATAAACTATATTTTATATTAATATTAATTACAAATTACAAATTATATTATATTAATATAAGTTAATATTAATATTAATTATAATCTATAATTTATATTAATATTAAGTATAAGTGATAATTTATATTAACACTATTAATTAAATAATTTATTAATATAAATTATAAAGGGATGAAATTGAAAGAATTTAAAATATAAAGATTAAATTGAATCATTAAAGTTTGACTAAATTGAATAAAATCAAAACAAGGGGAAAACGCTACAATGTCAAATGAAGTTAAAAAACATGCGGATCATGAACCCAACCAGAACGAAGCGTAATATATAAGGTAGATTTTTTCCTCATTCTCTGCTTTTCGATTCATTCTCCCATTTTGCCCTTTCTCTCTGACTTTCTGATTCTTTCAAAATTCTCTGTCTTCTCTCTAGAAATTCATACTCTTTGAAAAAACCTTCATTTGATCTTCAAAAACACCAAATCCCAAACATTTTTCTGTTTTTTTGATCAAACACATGAAATTTCTTAACTTGTTCACCCAAGTTCATACCAAAACCCTCCTTTGATCTTCGTAAACACCAAAACCCATACGATTTCTTATTTGTGTATCCATCCCAATTCATCTTTGTTCTTCACAAAAATCATCCGTTGATCTTCACAAACACCAAAACACATACCATTTCATGTTTTTTCGAACAAACCCCAAATCCAAGCAAAAGTTCATCCTTATTCTTCCCCCAAACCATTCTTTGATCCTTACAAACACCCAAAAGTAAAAATCAATATGTTTTCTTCAATCAAACCCAAACCCTAACAACAATTCATCTTCTGTAACTCAAACCCGAACCCAAACCCGAACCCAAATCTGAACCCAAATCCAAACCAAACCCATACCCAAACCAAAATCCAAACCCGAACCTAAAAAACCTAACCGAGCCTCTTCATTTTATGTATCTTTTCATCCTCTGTAACCGCGACTATTCATCATGTTCTTTCTATTCTTCCTTCTCTGTTGATATTCGAAACCTTTATTTTTTCAAGGGTTTCATGAATAGTCTTTCTTACGAGTTGAATTATCCAGGTATATTTAATTTTTTTATTATTTTTTTTATTTTAATATTTTTCATTAATATATTCTTCATTTCTTTTGTAGAAGAAAACCCAACAAATCAAAATGAAGAACATTTTGAAAAAGGTAAATGATCATTTTGAATTAATATATACTGTTCATTCATTTTGTTTATTTTAATATTGTTTGTTTGTTATAATTCATTGTTTGTATAACTGCTGGTTGTTCATTGGGAATGGTTGTATAGGGTCGTTAGTTGTCTTGTTAGCAGCTAGTGTTTATTTGTTTCCTCTGTAGTCATTGTTTGTGTAGTTGTTGCTTGTTCATTGGGATTGGTTGTATTAGGTTGTTAGATATCTTTGTTTGTATCTAGTGTTTCTTTGTTTCCTATTGTAGACACTTATTTTCGTCCGGATTTGTTTTTTATATATTATTTTTTATATAGTAATATAATATAATTTTTGAAAATGTTTTTAAAACGGTTTTCTAAAATATGTATACTATATAGTTTCGAAAACATTTCGAAAATATATATATTATATAGTTTTAAAAAATTTTGAAAACATATATAATGTATAATTTTTGAAAATGCTTTTGAAAATATATATAATATATAGTTTTGAAATCATTTTGAATATATATATATATATATATATATATAGTTTTTAAAACATTTTTTGAAAACTTATATAATATATAGTTTTTAAAACATTTTTGAAAAATTATATAATATATAGTTTTAAAAACATATTTTGAAAACTTATATAATATTTTTAAATTAATTTTGAAAACTATATAATATATAGTTTTGAATTTTTTTTAAAAAAATATAATATATAGTTTAAAAATATTTTTGAAATATATATATTACATAGTTTATATTATATTATAATTATTTTTTTAATTTATTTTCTTTCGTTTTATTGTTTATTAATTTCTTTTTATGTTTTTTTTTCTAGGTCCAATAACAATCCACATATCGGTCTAAAGGAATGGGCCTAAACCACCCCGAATGCAGTAGGAGTTTCAACATGTGTCAAGGCACCGCAGAAATCAACAACAAAAGTGGAAAGGGCGCAAGTCAATCTGGATCGTTGTATCTGACCCAATCCAACGACCAGAAAGCAACCTCAACAGTCAGAGGCGATATCAAGAGTCAAGAACATCGCGCATCGCCGGTTATACATGCAATAAGACTGGAGCACAAATTGGAACAAACATATACATGCAACAACCGGCCACCCCGGAATATTCAGGATTGACCCCAAAATAACTGGAGAAAAACCTACACTGGAGCCTATAAATATAGAACACAGAACCCACGGGAAAGGGGGAGTTTCATCAATAGTACACAAATGATCAAATCACAATATCACAACCGGAGATCAGTGAACCAATGAGAATAGAAAAAGAAAACCAAACGGTCAGAAGCCGAAACACAAGCAACCCAAAAAATAGAACCAACAATAAAGCCACTGAACCACAAATATCACAAAAACTACAAAACAAAATACAACAAGGAAAAGACCGAAGCTAATAAAAATACACCATCAACCGAAGAAGCCACTGGAAAAGCGAAAGGTCACCGGAAAAGGTAAAGACACGAGGAGTCGTTTTTAGATATACTTCAATAAGGGTGTGGTTTGAGTGTTTAGAGGTTGGTTTTGGGTTAACCAGGTGAAGGGGAACATTTTGATGATTTCGGGTGTTTTTTTCGGCCGTCGACGGTGGCGACCAGAGGAGCGACGGACGGAAGACCGGGGACCGGAGAGGTGCCGGCCATTCCCTCTGGCGAGGAATTGTAGAGAGATGCGAGAGCACTCTCTGTTAGAGAGAGAAGAGATTTTTTTAGGGAAATGAAGAAATGTGGGGTTTTGGGGGGAGAATTTGGGCTTTATACAACCCGTGAGACCCGACACGTGTGTGACTTGACCCGTGTTGAGGGTCCGTGCGTTTCTGAGATAAAAATGGGAAATATCAGGTTTGGTCCTCCTTATGCTGTAATTTTACTGTTTAACCATTAATGCAGCTTTTTGATATTTTAATTTGGGCCACTGGTTTTTAATGTTTTCATTATGGTCCTAACTTACATATTATGCTTGATAATCTTTTATTATTATTATTATTATTTCCTTTTTTTATTTTTTTTTCAAATTTGTTTTTCATATTCCTTTAATTTTATTTAATTTTTTTTATCATTATTACTTTTTTCTTTATTTTTTTATTTCCCTTAAATTTATTATTTTTTATATTTGTTTTTTTAAAAAAATATTTTTATTTAGTTTTTATTCATTTTTATTTTTTTTGCTTCTTTGATTTATTATTTTAGCTAGTGTTATTATAGTTAATATTTTTTTTATCTAACATTTTCCCCTTTTTTAGAATAAATTCCAGCTGATCAAAGGTAAGCAATTCGAACCGAATTTTTAAATTTCAATTTAAATTTTCAATCTTCGCAATTATAGACAACCGATAAATTAATTGGTATCGAAAGGGCGATTCAAGGGTGCTAATCCTTCCTTGACTGTAACCGACTTCCGAACCCGACACATTTTTGGTAAAACACAGATCAGGTAAAATGGTGTCCGATCTACCTAATTGTTTTTAAATGATCAGTGGCGGTCTAACCCAATTATTCAAGTCGAAGCCCAATTCCGGGCCTAACCGAAAGGCGGTTCTGATAGTTTGGCGACTCCGTTGGGGATAGGTAATTGAGTCAGGCCGAAATTAATTTCCTGTTGTATTTTTTTAGCGAAAATTACAAATTTTAATTTTAATTTATTTATTCGACTCAAATTATTTACCTTTGATTCTTTTTCAAGTAGATAGTTATACTGATGTTTTTTTCAATGAATTCAGATTTTCAAAATTTTCATCTCAAGCTCTATACCCGAGCTCTGAACCCTATTTAAGTGGGGGTGAAAGCGACGCCTTCGTGTGAATTTATTCACCTTGCGGGCCTAGCAAGTAGCCTTCGGGATTCATATACCTTATGTCTTCGTGTGAATTTATTCACCGTGCGGGAATAAGGGAATGTTTCCTCTCGAGTTTAACTTAGTCCACATAAGCTTGTAATGGGCTTAGGACTAAGGGTCTGGCAAGCCCAAGGGGGCACCAGCGAGGAGAACTCGGGTACCTTTTTAGAACCTAAACAGAGAGATTACAGGAAATTAGAGCCTACCCCAAAATCTCATTTCAAAACCTATATTGTTTTGGATTATTTCCTACTTTATTTTCTGTTTAAAACATGCGAACTAGAAATTTATGAGGTTAGGACTTGTTCAAAATCAACTTACGGGATAGATATCATGTCCGGGTATGAATAATAAGCATGTTGGGTAGATATCATATGGCGTAGGACTTTTCATTTTCATCATTTTTTTATTATCCCTGTCTCACTAACTTTTTGCCTTCATTTTTGTCCTTTTTTCATTTTTCATCATTTAAATCTTTCGAAAGAGATGTTGATCCATAAAAAATGTGTTCGTGAAACGTAAATAATTTTTATTAATGGAAAAAGGGGTTATAATACAAGAGATGAAAAGCTCTAAAGTCCAGCTATGGTAAAAAAAGACTCGGAATGGACCGGGTTTATGCCAGGCACGTCAAAAGTCAACTTTTCCAAAACGAGATGGTGAAAGTTGCAAGAGCAAGATAAGAAAAAGGCTACTGACCCAGAGAGTCATTTCGAAGACTACGAGAATAAGATGGCAAAACCTTATCTGAGCTGAATGCCAGTATTGACGAGTTTAAGAAACAAGCAGATAAACTTCGGATAGTTCCTATCGATAGATGGCTTAGATGGCGCTTTATTTAGGAACAAGCTCAACAGAGAGGGAAAGTTGAAGATGTAGTCTTTCAAGACTTTTTGGGGCAAGCAACTTGCACTTGCACAGTTTAGCCAAAGAAGCTGGAATGGTTTGACAGGGTATTCAACTGGTGACAGAAAAAAGACGGAAGATGAATCAACCTGTCAGAAACTGTTCGGGGTCTATACCTTTAAAATGCTTTTTGTCTCCTAAGGCGTAACATTTTTCCCCCAATAAGGATTATTTATAATAACAGACACATTTTTGGATCAATGCGTCGAACATTGGATGCATCATGCATTTAGACATATTTTGCATTTTGTTATTATTTTTCTCTCTCTTTGCATTCACATTAACTAACAGAAGCATGTCTCATACAAAAAGGGGGAATAGACCCTGGACATATCGCCTCAAGCATGGACACTCCCAAGCAGAAATTTGTGTATCTGAGGGTACATCAAAAGAAGCCTCGGTAAATGAAACGGTAAAGAAATGGGGAACAAGTGCAGATGAAAGCCCTAATCCAACCAGTGGGGCATCCTAATGATGCCTTATTTTATTTTGTAACACCCTGTTTGAACTTGTTTATTGAACTCTCATATTCCTTTTTGTAACTTGTTTTTGAACTTTTTTTTATAAGGATATTTTAATGAATGTATGCCGAGCATTGAATCAAATTTACAACTTGAAATTCTTTGAATATCAACTGATTTAAAGAACTCTGTAAATGATTTAGAGTTACAGATCTTTGGCAAAGTAGCACGATTAAAAGCCGATAAAATAAAGGACTTTGACCTTACCCAGAAAATATGCTCGAACACCATACCCTTTTGCTTGCAAAAACCAATAAACAAGAGACTTGGTATTTAGTATGCATAGGAGCGAGCAACATGGGGCATCTTTTGCATATGATGATAATGATCTTCATAGATGAAATAGTCGAGTAAGCAAATCTAGTTTAGGTTAGTTGTTTAAAAATTGTACTCTAAAGATGAGATTCATTGACTTTCAAAAACACCTAGACTATAACAGGTTCTTCTTGACTAACTTAAGAAATTGGACCCGTATACCCAAATTATAATATTATATATATACAATAAAGCTTGAGATGTCCCTATAAAGCAATTGGTTAAACGTCCCAACTTTATGGATGAGATTCAGCTAGCCTGATAAAAGGTGATTATAATATACAATAAAGCTTGAGTTGTCCCTCTAGAGCAATTGGTTAAACGCTCTGTCTTTATGGATAATATTCAGCTAGCCTGATAAAGGTGATTATTATATCTATACAGTGATATTAAGTTGTCCCTCTAGAGCAATTAGTTAAACGCCCCGGCTTTATAGATTCAACTAGCCAGACAATGGCAAATTTAAATAAGGAGTTTCGGTAAAAATGGACTAAGGAAGTTAAGGAACACCTGTTATAGTCAACTTTACACGAGCACTCAGGAATTTCATTTTTAGACTGATATTTCTGCACTACCTTTGTTATAGGAGATTACAAAACTTGAACAACTAAAAGATTTCGGAGAATCGAAATAGAAGGTCTAGTAATTTATAATGCTACTTGCGTCATTTTGTCTGCATCAAATTAAAATGCCAAGCCCAAAGAAAAAACATGTTGCAATGATAGAAAATATGACATTTTTTTTTGCTAAAACCTTAGGTCAACCTAAAGCCAACTCATCCACTTGAATATTTTTCAAAGAGCTATAACTCTGAAAGTCATAAAGAGCTATTGATTCTTTTAATATTCTTTGAACTCGTGTTTATAATTTGATTCGATTTGATTGCGAGCCTAAATTAAGGGGCAATGTTCTACAGAATTCATGTTGCATGCATCTTAGATATACTTAAGAGCATCACATTTATCATTTTTAGCATACATAATTTTTTGCAGCGTCAAGTTTCAAATTTAAGACGAAAGATACTCGATTCAAAAGCACATTCAAAAGTTGATGGTGGTTGTTCGACCTCACAGCAAAAGGGCAGTTGTCTGACGACAAAACAACTTTCTGAGTCTCGTTCAGAGTTAATTTCAACTTCACAGCGAAGGATATTGAACTCGAAGCAGCACAATTTGTTTAAAATTGGATTTCAACTCCACGATGGAGGATATCCAACTCAAAACCAACTTTCTCTATATTGGATTTCAACTTCACGACGAAGGATATCCAATTCAAAGATCAACTTCACAGATAAGGGGCTTCCCAGTTTCATTCAGAGTCAAATTCAACTTCACGGCGAAGGATATTGGACTCTAAACAATACAAGCTTGGATTTCAACTTCACGACGAATGATATTCAAGTCAAGGCTCAACTTCACAACGAATGGGCCATCCACGATTTCAACTTCACGACGAAGGATATCGTGCCAACTCTAGATTGGATTTCAACTTCATGACGAAGGATATCCAATTCAAAGCCCAACTTCACGATGAAGGGGCTTCCCAGTTTCATTCAGAGTCAATTTCAACTTCATGGCGAAGGATATTGGACTCGAAATAATACAATCTTGGATTTCAACTTCAAGATGAAGAATATTCAAGTCAAGGCTCAACTTCACAACGAAAGGGCCATCCACGGTTTCAACTTCACGACGAAGCATATCGTGTTCATTTGCACCATAACTCAAGGCTAGAATGGTTATCTGTAAAAAAAGACCTTCGAGTTCGACTACGCTCAGCTCCAAGGCACATCATTTGCAATATAGCTCAAGGCTAGAAGGGCTATTTGCCACCAAAAGACCTTCAGGTTCGACTACGCTTAGCTCCAAGGCACATCATTTGCAACATAGCTCCAAGGCACATCATTTGCAACATAGCTCCAAGGCACATCATTTGCAACATAGCTTAAGGCAAGAAGGGTTATTTGCCAGCAAAAGACCTTCGAGTTTGACTATGCTCAGCTCCAAGGCATATCATTTACAGTATAACTCAAGGCTAGAAGGGTTATCTACCAACCAAAGACCTTCGAGTTCGACTACGCTCAGCTTCAAGGTACATCATTTGTAGCATAGCTCAAGGCTAGAAGGGTTATCTGCCACGAAAAAGACCTTCGAGTTCGACTATGCTCAGCTCCAAGGCATATCATTTGTAGCATAACTCAAGCCTAAAAGGTTTATTTGCCAACAAAAGACCTTCGAGTTCGACTACGCTCAGCTTCAAGGCATGTCATTTGCAACATAGCTCAAGGCTAGTAGGGCTATCTTCCAAAGATCCTCAAGTTCGATTACACTCAGCTTCAAGGGCACATCATTTGTAGTATAACTCAAGGTTAGAAGGGTTATCTGTCAACAAAGACCTTTGAGTTCGATTACACTCAGCTCAACGGCACATCATTTACAGTATAGCTCAAGGCTAAAAGGGCTATATGCCAAAGACCCTCGAGTTCGATTATACT